GTAAGAGGCAGGGTTTGGAGCACAATGCTCCCCCCCCCGCAGGGACTCAGCAAACCGTCCTAGGAGGAGGGGGCGGCCGTGCTGGGGAAATGCAGAGCGATGGTACCCGCGGCCAAGCCCATCCTGCTGCCGGGAGCAGGGATGGGCCACGCACGCTCCCACCGGGCTCCTCCACACCAGCTTTCCCCCCCATTTCGGTTGGGCAGTCACCGTGGAGTGACTGAACCCGGCTGAAATTGCACTTTCACCAACTTGGCAAGTACCCAGAGGCCCCGGCCCTTTCCCAGTTGCCTTGTCTCCGTTCTGGGTGGAAAACACCAAAGTTGGGCATCTCCAGCCTTTTGGACACCGAACCTTAATGAACTTTGTGCGTTTGGATACAAGAAGCTGATGTGTGCAGGAGCTCTGCTGGAAGGGTGGCTGCGTAGCTATTGCACAGGGGAGGCAACTGTTGGGAAGGATGTTTCTCATTAATCTATTCAAGTTATTACCTTCATCAAACTGAAGTATCCTAGAATCCTCGCCCCAGCATCTGTCACTTGCCACCCACAGATAAATATTCATCCCTTGCATATTTTTTTTTTAGCACATCAACCAGGGCTAGGGGATGGGTCCCTAACTGCGCGCAGCGAGGCTCAGGAAGCGAGATGCCCCAGAATCCATGGGTTTCACTCCAATTTTACCATTTCCTTGCACAATAGTGGGTAAGGGCAAGTCTCGACACTCCACCAACCGTTGCCGGCACTATCTTGGGGTGCAATATTTTGTGTGACTGATGCACACGCGTTGATGCGTTGGGCTTGGACGTAGGGTATGGCATGCGATGGCCTGAGCCGCGTTGCCACCCCCCCCCGCCGTCCTGGCTCTGCTCGCCGCCCCGGGTACCGTCCCCCCCCCACCCCCCACGCCGGGTGCTCACGCCTGCCACGCGCACACGCATGCACGCTTCCCCCACATGCAGCTTGCAGATCTTGCACCTCCCACGCGGACACACTCATCGCCATGCACACACGCCTCTCCTCCCCACGCCGAGACGCCGCTTCGCCCCTCCGCTCTCATACCCACACGCACGTGGTCTGCCCCCAGCCCGGCGCCAGCGCTCTCTGACCCATGCACGAGCCGGATGAATGCAAACCGCCTTCCCTGAGCCGTGCGGATTTGTGTCCATCAATGCAAACCTATTGCACAGAGCCCAAATAAGCAAATGCAGCCTCGCTGTTCCCCTAGGAGCCCACACTTTGCCAAATCTCCCTGGCACCGCTGCGCGCCCGACCCACAGTCCTGCACCTGCGGCACACGCATGCACCGTCCTGTCTTTCCCCTGCACGCATGTACTCACTCAGACCCCCCCAAACCACAATACTGCTGACATGTCCTTATCTTTCTGCCAAAAATCCCTGCCACCTCCTGCCCTCATCCAGAAGCACCCTGATATTACGTAAACCAGGCTTCTGAGGATTGCTTCAGTTGGCTGCTGGAGTTGCACCACTCGTTTGCTGGGCCTGATTCAGCCCGGCTCCAGAGCGGGAGCAGGATTGCTCCATTGCTTCAGGTGAAAGGGGCTGCATCCACCTGGGTCAGCACCCATGTGAGCCGGAGCCGCTGCCATCGCCCTTGCTGGAGCTGGTGGAACCTCCCTGGAGCAGAGGGTTGGAGACCTCCTCCCATTGGAGACCCTCTCCCGAGCAGGTCTGGAGATCAGGATGCATCTCAGCTGGTTCCTGCCTTTCTGTAATTCCACAGACGCTCTGGAAATACTCGGTGATTTTATCCTGGGTACAGTTTGAGTTGTAACTGCAGGCTTGCCATGGGAATCCTAGGGCTGTGCATGGGGTTTGGGTTTTGCTGCTGAAACCGTGGTTGTGGGGGTGGGTAAGATGGGGTGGATGAAGGAAGCCCCAAATCTGCTTTTGCCTTTTCCATCGCTGCCAAAGCTGTTTTTCTCCTCCCTCCACCTCTCCCCAGCTCAGCATTTGGGATCCGAGACCGGACAGGGGCTCAGGGAGGGGACCAGCCCCTCTCTCGGGTCCCCGCTGCCCGGCCAGCCCTTGGGGAACGGCTCGTGGCGGTTCCCCGGACTGGAGGTGTTCGTGGTGCATCGGGGCCGTGCCGGGTCCCTCCTGCTGCCACCCCCTCGCCCCATCCCGGGTGCCCACGTGCTCCATGCAGCCTCGTTTCTCGAGAGGGCTACCCCAAAACGGACGGGCAGTCACATCGCGGTATTCATCTTGTGTAATCCTCCGTGCCCACTCACCTAAATGAATCATCTCTTTGATAGGTGAGTGAAATATAATTAGTGTTTTCATTGTTAGCACCGTGTGAGTAGGCAAGTGGGTTTTCTTGGCCTGGGCTGGGAAATTTTCGTGCTTTGCAAGCGATGGGAAGAGGGAAGTGGTGCGGTGGGAGCTGCTGGCGTGGGCTCTCTCGCAGCCTGTCCTGCCCGGGCAGG